CTCCTGCATACACACCCGCACACCCCTCCCCCCCACACACATCCCCACATACACCCTCCCCCCACACACACACACCCACGGACACCTTCGCATACACCCTCCCCTGCATACACCCTGCCCTGCACACACACACACCCGCTTACCACCCCGGCATGGACATCCCTACATATACCCCCGCTTCCCTCTCACACACCACAAGCACCACGGACACTGCCACATACACTGTCCCCATTCTCCACACACACCACGGACAGCCCCACATACACCCTCCCCACACCCCCACGGAAACCTCCGCATATACCCTCCCCGCCCCCTACACACACCCCACAGAGACCCCTGAATACACCCTGCCCGGCATACACCTCCCCCACACACCCGCACCCCCACATACACAACATCCCTCCATGTACACAAACGCCATGGATACCCTCACATACACACCCCCGCACACACACACCACAGACACCCCTACATAAACCACCCTCCTCACACCTCACGCATACCCACACACTACACCCCACGGACACCCCACATACACCACACCACACACTCCCCCACATACACCCTACGCACACACCCTATGCACAGGGCTGAGCACTCCTGGGCTCACTGTCCCTTGGGCAGGACCCCACAGACCAGGTGCAGGGGTGAGCGAGGGACACCCAGCCCCACTTTGGAGCACAGGGAGCAGCAGGTCCCTGCACACCCCTCATCCCACAGCACTGGCAGCACGGGCGATGAGCGAGGTGTCGCTGTGTGCCTTTCTGCGGAAGGCAAAGCACGGATTCACAGAATCACAGAATCACAGAATGCTTAGGGTTGGAAAGGACCTCTAGAGATCATCTAGTCCCCATGACAAAACTGGGGAAAAGCCTCATGTCCAGCCTGGAGCTCGCTGTGAGCAGGGGTCCAGGCTCAGTGAGAGCTTCTCACATGTGTTTGCAGGAGAGGCGCTGGCACGAGGCTACCTCTGCATTCGCTTTGCTGGGTAGCCAAGGATGGGGGCACTTCCATGTCCTGGGGGGATTTTAGATATTGCTACTGCCCAGAGGGATGGGAATCCTTTTCTGTAGAATCCATCTATAGTTTTCCAAATTCCAAGTGGAAATGAACAGTGCAGAATAGTCAAACTTACGTCAAGATACATTTTAGGTTGTTCCTACATATATGTTTTCTAATCCGTCACTCCAAAGGTTAATCCTTTGATTGATCCCCCCACCAGTCCCCCAGGAAAGACTCAAGGCACAGAAAACATGCAAAGTTGGTACTGTCTTTAAAACAAACAAAATAATAGATTTACCATAATCCGTTCTACAAATAGTCAAATGGTGTAGCACACTTAGATCAATCTCAAAAAAGACATGGGAAAACAACGAGGATCACAAGCAAGGGAGATTCTTCCTCCATTATCCTAAAACACTTTAGAAAATGGCAGAAGAGTCTACCATGTGACTGTGAATCCAAGTGGGTGTTGATTTGTCAGGACAAATTATTGATCTCCTTCTTCTGGATAAAAGAAAATCCCTATTCAAACAGAAGGGAAATGGTAATATGAAGCCTGATCCAAAGCCCATTTACATCAACAGAAGTGCTGTAAATGGATGATTGATGTTGGAAAAAAATCATCTATTGGGAAAAGTTAAAGCATTGCAAATGGCACAGCGAAGAAGGAAAAAAATCTCTGCAGCCTCATTAAGAAACTATGTCAATAGAATTTTGCATTTAGATGCCTGTTCTAAGCAAAGATAAGCAAAGATAATTCCCCTTCTGTGAGAATACATATAAGCTTTCTTCCCACAAAGGTATTCTTTTGGATTGACATGCCCCTTTCCAGTTCGTTCATAGTATGTAGAAAGAGGAACATCAACAACAGCCTTGGCGGAGTGGCCCTCCGGGCTCCATCAAATCATCCAGACAAGATCCTGCATGCGTCTGGAAGGAGGGACCAGATCACACATCTAAGTGAGGAGTTCATGCTTCTTAGGTCAGTCATGGAGTATTTTCTGAGAACCTCTACTGCCAGTTGACAGCACTATGGAAGGTGATGTTGCTGGAGAACATATATGGCAGGGACATTGCAATGCCAAGGAAATACCATCGACTGGCTCTAGCTTAAAACAATGCAGAGCTTTGATGGTTCTGGTTACTTGAGAGTGTAAAAAAAAATCTCTTTTTTCATGTAGCAATCGAGTTAAAAATCAAGACTGATCCATTATAGTCATTTGGAGATGTTCTAATGATTGCCTATAGCTATTTTTTAAAAATTGTAATTGTGCTTCTTTTTAAATATGAATTGGCCCAGCATTGACTTCTTGGCATTATTTTTGTTACGAATGTCTGCTGAACTGTTGAACTTTTATCAAGTTTCTCCTTCCCAGTAGCGTAAAGGTTGAGATGATAAAGACATCCAGAGAGCACTCCTTGAGTCCCATTATATAAAACATATTTTCCAGCCCTTCAACCATTCCCATTAAACCTTTTTCAAACCATCCTCCTTGAATGCAAACATAACAGCACTACGTATTTCACCCGAGGTCAGGCCAGTGTTAGCTGGTTGTTACATCACATTCCAATTCTTACTGCTTCACCAGCCCAACAATTTCATTTGCTCTCCCTGAAGTTCAGCTCAGTATCCACACTGACACACACACTTCTCCTCTTGCCCAGAACGTTTCTAGAACAGGTTGCTACTCTCTAGGACAGGCTGTTACACCCAGCAAAGCCAATGATCTTTGTCCCTAAGACAAATAAGTCTTGTTATATTGCAATACATGTCATTTACCTCCATGCGGCTTTCCAAACAGCCCCGATCACTGAGCACTGATCTTTTATTGTTTATGACTTCCTTAACCTACATTTTACTGCTAATGAATTTATATTGATGCACTGGATTTAGCAAGATCTTACGGAGATCATTTCTTGGCCCCAGTCCTCTAGAAATTCTCCAGAAACAAATCAACTTCAGCAAGGATTCCCACTTCGCAATTATACTTAAGGACCTAGCATTTAATCAGGTTTTAGTCTGTTTCCTAAATGCCATTTTGTTTTTGCATCCAATTTATTCATCAACATGCCATGCAATATCAAAGGGTCTCCCAGAGAGGAGCAACACAGTTGTACCCACGAGGGATGAAAGCTTGCATTTTTTTTTCCAGCTATATCAGTTACTGCAGTATAACAAATTAAACTGTACCATAAATCTTGCCTCATCTATCAGAAGACGAATAAGCAACAGTACCAGTTTTACCACTCAAAACCAAAACAACCAAAAATGTCAAAAAGTGACAAAATTAGTTTAACTATTCTAGTTCCCAAACAGATTGCTGGCTACATCTTTAAAGAACTACTACATTATATGATTATGTTACAAGAAGAAATTGACACTCAGGATGCTACATTAGCAGAGGTGCTTCTTTCTGGGAGGATTACACCGCATTGGTGGCACGCAAAAACAGCAGAAGGATTTGTAAGAATTTCTTTGTTCACTGTGGAATTCAATGGCCTCCTAAGCACAAGAACTAAAATTGTCTCCATCTTGCATCGTACTAACAGGTGTGAGGGGCAGCACTCTGAAAAGATGGAAACTGAATATTGTAATAATCAAATTTCACAGTTAGGAGAGAGCACAGCCTTTTGTACAAGCTTGGGTTTCACTTAAATGTATCTTGGAAGAGTTGTGAAGTGAGCACACAACCATGCTTTCAGTGGCCTCTGGAGTAGGCTCTAAGATAATACCTACATTCCAAACAACAAACAGGGTTAAAAGGGCAGAGATTCCAAAAAGAAAAACTGGATTTTTTAAGAAACATGCTTGGATGAAAAAGAAACACTATGGTTTGATGGTCATGTTTAGAATTTATTAGAACAGGGAATGAACAGACATACTTGAAGAAAAGGAAGACGTAAAGCCTTACATTCTCTGCGCACTCAGAATACTAGAGTATTAGTGTAATTGAAAGTACAGCTCGAAAAGAATAAAGTGAAATGCAACCAGAAATGTCCTGCAGGCCCATCACTGTGAGCTGGCCCACTTTAAGTTCAAAGGAAAGCCGGTTCGGAAAGATGAAGGTAAGCCAGCCTTTGCTGTGGATCATCCTATGGTAGTGCGTGGCAGCAAGTTCTGAACTGCTTTGTTCTGCTACTGGTGTGAGGAAAGCAAAGCACAGAACACAGAAGACTGGCCCACAGAGAGCTACTACGGGCTGATTGCCAAAGTCGGCATGACCATCCTAAAGTGAGTTTCCATAAAACACATCTGGGCTATTTGAGCACAGCAATTAAGAGACAGATGTCTGAGTTACCACAGAAAACTGATGAAGTCAAGGAAGACCAGCGTCTCTTGAAAGACCATGTAGCAGGTCAAGGTGTAATTTCCTCCCAGTCATCTTTGGTTTTCTTTCATTTATTACCTCTGGTCACAGGGAAAATCAGAGGGGCTGGAGAGCCACGTAGTGTCTGACAGGCAGGAGTTGAAAACTGCTAAGATAAACAGTTGGAAGCATATGAGTTCAACACCACTTTACAACCCGAAGTGGACAGA